GAGAGAGAGAGAGAGAGAGAGAGAGAGAGAGAGAGAGAGAGAGAGAGAGAGACCATCTGCATTCGGCTCCCGGCTGATCTACAGCGTGTGCTCTGGCCATGGCGGCCAAAGGTATGATGAGCTGCCACCATTTTTTTATATATTTTTTTCAACGAAAAATGGCTTTGAGAGAAATGTTGTCAATCCAATGCCATGTAGGAAAGGTCATGATCACCCTGATTGAAAAACAGGAACAGAGATTTCTGTCTCCCTCTCTACACGATTTTCTTCCCTTCTCTCTCTCTCTCTCTCTCTCTCTCTCTCTCTCTCTCTCTCTCTCTCTCTCTCTCTCTCTCTCTCTCTCTCTCTCTCTCCAAACGATTTTCTTTTCTTTTTTTTTATGTTTTTTGTTCTTCCAACCAAAATGGCTTTGCGAGAAATGTTGTGAATCCAATGTCACTTGGGAAAGGTCACGACTCACAATCACCCTGATTGGGAAGTACGAACAGTGATCAGATAGGGAGGGGGTTGATCTCCCTCTCGCATCGATTATCTGTTTTTGCTTTTTCGTTTTTCCAACCAAAATGGTTTTGCAAGAAATGTTGTGAATCCAATGCCACATGGGAAATGTCACAATCACCCCAATTAAGAAGTAGGAACAACGATCGGATAGGGAGGGGGTTGATCTCCCTCTCCCCTCGATTTTTTTTTATTTTATTTTTCCGTTTTTCCAACCAAAATGGCTTTGCGAGAAATGTTGTGAATCCAATGCCACGTGAGAAATGTCACAATCACCCTGATTGGGAAGTAGGAACATCGATCGGATATGGAGGGGGTTGATCTCCCTCTCCCCTCGATTTTGTGTTTTTTTTTTTTTCGTTTTTCCAACCAAAATGACTTTGCAAGAAATGTTGCGAATCCAATGCCACATGGGAAAGGTCACAATCACCCTGATTGAGAAGTAGGAACAACGATCGGATAGGAAGGGGTTTGATCTTCGTCTCTCCTCGATTTTCAATTTATTTATTTTTTCGTTTTTCCAACCAAAATGACTTTGCGAGAAATGTTGTGAATCCAATGTCATGTGGGAAAGGTCACAATCACCCTGATTGAGAAGTAGGAACAGCGATCGGATAGGGACAAGGTTGATCTCCCTCCCCTCAATTTTCTGTTTTTTTTTTTTTTTTTTCCGTTTTTCCAACCAAAATGGCTTCGCGAGAAATGTTGTGAATCCAATGCCATGTGGGAAAGGTCACAATCACCCTGATTAGGAAGTAGGAACAACGATCAGATGGGAGGGGGTTGATGTCCCTCTCCCCTCGATTTTCTGTTTTTTTTTTCCTTCCGTTTTTCCAACCAAAATGGCTTTGCGAGAAATGCTGTGAATCCAATGCCATGTGGGAAAGTTCACAATCACCTTGATTGAGAAGTAGGAATATCGATTGGATAGGGAGGGGGTTGATCTCCCTCTCTCCTCGATTTTCTGTTTTTTGTTTTCCGTTTTTCTAACCAAAATGGTTTTGCGAGAAATGCTATGAATCCAATGTCACATTGGAAAGGTCACAATCACCCTTATTGGGAAGTAGGAACAACGATCGGATAGGGAGGGGGTTGATCTCCCTCTCCCCTCGATTTTCTTTTTTTTTTTTTCGTTTTTCCAACCCAAATGGCTTTGAGAGAAATGTTGTGCATCCAATGCCACGCGGGAGAGGTCACAATCACCCTGATTGGGAAGTAGGAACAACGATCAAAGAGGGAGGGTGTTGATCTCCCTCTCCCCTCGATCTTTTTTTTTTTTTTTTTTTTTCATTTTTCCAACCAAAATGGCTTTGTGAGAAATGTCGTGAATCCAATGCCACGTAGGAAAGGTCACAATCACCCTGATTGGGAAGTAGGAACAACGATCGGATAGGGAGGGGGTTGATCTCCCTCTCCCCTCGATTTATTATTTTTTTTC